AGCCACCGCCTGCAGCGGGCCGAGCCGCCGCGTCCCCGCGTCCCCGCGCCGGCTTCCCGCGCTTGGCCTCCCTGGGGGCTGCAGGGCGCCGCTGCGGGTCCCGGCCCCGAGGCCACACTCGGGACAGCGGCGCGGCGGCCTGGCTTCCCCCGCACCCAGGGCAGCGCCCGCTGGGCGGACACCTGTTCGGCCCGGCCTCGCGCCCTAGCCCAGGGCCAGGATGAAAGTGACAGTGTGCTTCGGCCGGACTGGCATTGTGGTGCCCTGCAAGGACGGGCAGCTGCGGGTCCGCGAGCTCACCCAGCAGGCACTGCAGCGCTATCTGAAGACTCGCGACCAGGTGAGGGGCGGGCAGGGAGGGGCGCGGGGCGGGAGGGGCGCGGCTGCGGCGGGCTCCTAGTGCTCGAGGCCGTGCACCTGCTGGGCGCCCCTGGCTCTCTTTAGGGGCTCTGATAACTCTGGCGACAGTTGAGCACTGCCAGTGGCCATAACTTTTGCAAGTTCTTAGTTTAAGTGATTCAGGTGTCTTGGAGCATCTGTGGGCCTTGTGGATCAGAGAGCTGTGGAAGGAAAGGCAGCATCCCACTCCCTTGGGCGGGGCGGGGGGGAGGTCCACACAGGTCGGCCCTGTGAGGCCTACTTCCAAGACCACATACCCAGCCTGCTCTTTCACAGAGTCCCAGGTCTCTGGGATACTAGGGAAGTTTCAGAAACACTGCTTTAGAACTTATTTGCAGGAACATTGCCATGTAACTGGTGTGGCTCCCGAAGTGTGATTTCTGACCCAGTAAGTCCCGCCCCATTGAGGCTCCTTGGAGAGCTGATTGGCTCAACGAACTCCTTGGGAGTTATAGCTGCTGGCGCCTTTGAAGTTTGTAACCTGCCTGATGAGAAAGAGGTCTTCTCCTGGTGACTTGGGCTGGAGCTCAGGTGGCAGATGCTGCATGCTAATGCCAGCCAGGGTATTAAGGTGTTTTCAGTTAGATGCCACACATTCTGCGAGCAGTTCCTATGGATGAGGTCCTGGATGACTACTGAAATGAGAATGATGTCCCATAGTGATATGGCTAAAGTCAGGAACAGGTGAAAAACAAGAGACAACTTGATTGTGCAGTAGGTGTCCAAGAAATCTATGTGGACTCTAGAACTCTTATCAGGTGTCAGAGTAACATATGGGGCTTCTGTATTTTCTTCGTTGGAGTCTTTAAATGAATACTCTGAAAAGCCCCTTTCATTTTTTTTTTTTTTGAATTCTCAGAGACATTTTGTATGCTCCAAATACTTCTCAAACAGGGCACCTCATCAATTCTTATTTTTGGAGAAAATCATTCTCTTAAGATTTGTTCTCATAGAATGGACTATAGATAATAAATGAGTTGGTCAATCTGTAGATGGAAAACTATAGCTTTAATTTTTAATGTTATGTTTGTGATTATAATGTTATATTTCTTCAAAGTATATAGGTTAAGTTTTTAAATTGCTTTCATTTATTAATTTATTGGGGGGGGTGCACACTCATACCACTGTGTGGAGGTCAGAGGACAACTTGTGGAACTCTGTCTCTCCTTCCTTCATGTGGGTCCTGGGGATTAAATCTAGGTCCTCAGACTTGGTGGCAAATGCCATTACCCACTCAGTCATCTTGCTGCTCCAGTATATAGTTTAGATATTTAAGAACTACTTGTAGCATCTATGCTTTCCCCTAAGAATTATACAGAAAAAGACTCTTAATAGATACTTATGTTATTTTAAATAGTCAATAATTGGAAGGCAGTATAGGGAAAAGTCTAAATATATTATATATAATCCCTAAAGCTCTGCCCTTGACATAGAACTGAAGTAGAGGAGGGAAAAAGTTTATGGTGGCCTTTAAAGCAATAGGAGAATCTACCCCAATGTATTTTTTTCCATTGTTACATTAGTGTGTACTGTTTATAATTCATAATGGTTCATGTACATGTTTCAGTTAAAAATTGAGATTTGACCAAGTATACAATTGCCTTTGAAATTGTATTCAACTAATTTCTCAAAGTTGGCTAAAATTAACAGTACCAATATACCCTACAGAGATTATTGAAGTATACTGCATGGAAAAACTGTTTAAGGAGATAATAAGCTTACTTTTTAACTTATTAACGATAATGTATGTCATCAAAGCTTGTACATTTAGAAATTTATTAGAAATTTAGAAATTTATACTGCATAAGCCCAGAGGTAAGCTAAAAGCTTGTTAAAAGAAGAAACAACCAGTAATCTTTAATATACTATAATTACTTCTTAAACAGTGTTTTAAAAACTTTGATATTTTGAACTAGAAATATAATTTATATCACAAAGCTCAAGATGTAATTGCATTGATCAGTTTGCTATTATTGCCAGCCATTACAATTTTCTGTGTTTGCATTTATATAGTAGTGAATGTGACATTTAAAGGTCACCTGCAGCTTATGAAACCTCTCTCTCAATTTTGGATTTTAAAATTTCAATTTAAGTGGAAAAAAGTGTTTCTCCCTCCCCTAAATTGTCTCCTCTAGTTCATTTTAAAGGATATTATAACCATAAGGCTTAACTAATAATTAGTGTTCCTAATGTAACTGAAATGTCAAAAAAATCCCGAAAAATTCCAGGCTTTTATCTTTTGAATAAAAAAAAAAAAATGGAAGAAGACTAAAAATGCCAGAATTCAATTTGTAAAACAGTTTGTAATGAATTCACTTTCTATAAGTCAGAAGAGAAATTTAAAAGGCTTGTTTCTCTGGATAGAAAAGTTTAAGTCCTGTATGCAACAATAACAGCTAACATGTATTATGCTTATTCCTTGCGGGCACTATGGTAGGAAATTACCATGTGTTACATGATATCCCCCCATAACATCAACATCAAAAGGTAGAATTCCCTGATTTACCAGTTGAGGTATAGAAATTACTAATAAATCATGGAAATGACCTTGAACCCAGCGGCTATGTCCCCAGGTCCTCACTCTTAGATTAACTACATAGCCTCCTGTGTTAATATATTTATCTTTTATAGGTTAAGAAAGACAATTCTTATTAGCTGCTACATTAACACATCAAGATAGCATCATTTGTTTCTTTCTGTGCTGCAGATAGAACCCAGGGTCTCGTGCCTGTGAGATAAGTGCTCTACCACTGAGCTACATCCCTCACTTGCAACATAACAATGGAGTATTCACAAATTCCTCTTTATTGTGTCTTTTATGATACAAGTGTACATTATAGGGAGAAGTCTAATTTCTGAGGCAAATATTGTATGATTTGCAGAGCACCTATGAAATATATTCCTCAGCTTAATTACAAATAGAAAAATGGGCAAGGTCTCTTAGATATCCAGATGGAAATTGATGAAACAAAAAACTTTCTGAGAACAGAAATTTAAGTCGTCTGTTTCTTCCTGGGTCCTAAATGATTTTGATGGGAGAAAGATCCAGGTGAATGGAAGTTATAGATTATGTGGGTTTGAGGGTGAGTGAAGCCCAGGGAGGCCCTTCTAGATTTTGTACACAGCATTAGAGAAGGAACCACCACCTGCTGAGAATAAGCAAAGAAAGCTGGCATTTGTGGTATGAAGGAACCAGCTGAGTCAACATCAGATAAGGCCAGAAGTAGGTGAGATGCTGGAGAAACAAGGGGAGCTTTGGGGAAGGTTTTAATTATGTTCTGAAATCTGGGACTTTGAGTTTCTTGTTTCCATTGAATGAAATCCATTGGGAAGGCAAGTTGACTGAGGAGCCAGAATTATGGGATGGCTTATCTTTGGATCCTGGTACTTTATCAGTGTCCTGGGCTCTAAATCCAATTTAGTGAAGTAGTTAGTGGAAGCGGTTGTCTCCTTAAGTAGTCAATGTGTGGATCACTGAGTAATTAGTTAAATTTATCATCAAAATTACATGTCACAGGTGAATTGATAATTGAACCATAACCTGCAGGGGCTCTCAACCCTGGCTGAGTATTATCTCTATTTTTAACATTTAGCATTTTAAACAGTATCAGTGCTTGAATCCCTTTTGTCAAGATTTTGATCAAGTGAGTATGGTGTGGACTTCAGGCACACGTATTTTAAAGAGCACTCCAGGTGGTTTTCATGCCCAGCTAGGGTTGACAACTGATCAACCACTAATCTCTCTGCATTGATGAACTTACTTGTTCAACCCTTTTGATGGAATACACTGTGCTGCATACATCTATAGAGCAATCTTTTATTAAGGCAACTCTCCTATTCCATCTCTCAATGAACTTTTTTCAGAGCAGGCACTGAAATAGGCTATTAAATTGAACATGTATACATATACTTGGTGAGGTGAAACAAACAAGGGAAAGACTTGTCTAGAAGTGAAAGTACAGTGTGTCCATGAGTTGAATGAGATAAGTTCATGGGATGGTGTGCGTGCTGGAGTTTTTATAAGTTGACACGTAGATCTTATTGTTTATTTGAGTAACCTTTTAAATCAAGAAATCATTAGTAGGTTTCTCAAAATGATTTTTACCTATATACAGATATTTTGAATAATTTGTTCTAGCAGTTGACACCATGTTCCCAGAACTGGATATAGATGACTAACTTCTATCTTCTGATTAATTGTGACATCAGGATCTAAGCGAATTTATACAGTGAGATCTGTGGAATAGCTTGAACTCTTGAATTTCTGAGCTTTTCAGATTTTGATGCCTTGTTGTCTGAGTGGATCTTGTGGTTCTTGGATACATTAGTTAGGTGCTGTCTGGATTCCTTTTTTAAAAAAATTTGTTTTTATTGAATTTTTGTGCATTTTATACAGAATATCTCAAAGAATCTTAATAATCTTTATACTCCTGTCCCCATGGGCATGCTCCCACAGCCCCACTGGAACCCATATACTCTGTCATCTGTGTTAAGGCCCAGTGTGTCAAGTCAGTGTGCCCAGATGTTCCCGTGTGCAAGTCCATCCACTGAGGTCTAGTCAGCCTATCTAGAGTCTCTTCTTTTAGGAAGATCGGCTTTTCCTCCCCCAGCAGTAATCAGCTGCCAATGTTTCCTCAGCTAAGAATGGGGTCTGCTGTTCATTTCCCCAGTTCTATGCTGGGTTTTGTCTGCCTGAGTTTGTGTGGGACTTTTGTATGCTGACACCATTGTCACAGAATCATGCAAGCAGGTTCCCAGGACCTTGTAGGACTCTGTTCCCATGTGGTCATGTGTGCACCTCCTCCCTGGACTCATGTAGAGATACTGTGTGTAATTTGTCATTAGGTTGTTGGACTAATATTATTCCCTCTGTTTTTCTTTTAACTAGCTAGGCATTATTTATCTCTCCTCTCTCCCTGTGTAACCCTTCCACCATGGTTT